AAACTATATTTTGGACAAGATAACACTACTAGGGTTTACCAACTGTACCAAGAGTACTTCAATCTGCAACAAGGGAATCAGAGTCTTGAGCACTATTATGCCAGTATGAGAAACTTACGTAATGAGCTGAATGTTTATCATCCTCTTACACCTGATGTCAAAATTCCGCAACAACAAAGAGAGCAGTTGGATGTGACCAGATTTTTAGTAGGGCTGAAATCTGAGTATGAACCCGTAAAGGCACAGATATTAGGTGGATCTGCTCTTCCCTCTCTTGAGGAAGTGTTTGCTTGTCTTCGGAGGATTTCAGTTGGACCCATAGAGACTTCCGCTATGTCAGATAGGTCTGCATTTGCAGTTATGAGAGCGGGAGGTCGTGGTGGTAGAGGAGGTCAGCATGGTCGTGGTAGTGGTGGTGGACCCATGTATGGTCGTGGTAGTGGTGGTGGACCCATGTATGGTCGTGGTGGTGGTCGTGTTGGAGGACGAGACTCAAGGGGAGCCCGTGGTAGGGGACGTGGTAATACTCAAAGAAGGTGTACTCATTGTGGTATGGAGGGACATACTATCAACTTTTGCTACGATCTCCATGGCCCACCTTCAACCTGGGTGAATCATGCAACTGTAAATGGTGGTAGCTCAAGACAAGAATCTCAAGTCACTGATCAGATCCCCACTACATCTGCAGATACTTCCAGAAAGAAGATGGTGAGTGTTTCACGGGATGAGTATGAGCGGTTCATTCAGGGTACATCTCAACAGAACACAACTACCCTTGCACACACAAGTACGGCTTGTCTGGCATCCACATCTTCCCGTTGGATTATAGATTCTGGAGCTTCCGATCATATGACTGGAACTCCAGGTGTATTTTCATCCATTTCTTCATCCTCCACTTACCAATTTGTTACTCTTGCCAATGGCTCTACATCAGCCATATGTGGTGTTGGTAATGTTGACACTGACTCATTATCCCTCTCCTCAGTTTTACATGTTCCCAAGTTTCCCTTTAACCTGATGTCTGTTAGTAAATTGACTCAGTCTCTTAATTGCTCAATAACTTTTTACCCTTCCTYTTRTGTGTTTYAGGATYKCAAGACGGGGATGAAGATTGGTGGAGGGCATGAAGCTGGTGGACTGTATTATCTTGATGGAGGTGGTTCGGCAACAGCTCTTCAGTCATCTCTCTCCCCTCATCAATGGCACTGCAGACTTGGTCATCCGTCTCTTAGAGCTCTTCAGTTACTTGTTTCGTCGTTGCGTCGTCTTTCTAATTTAAATTGTTAGTTTGGGAAACATCATCGTGTCTCCTTTAGTCCTAGAGTTGATAGTCGTACATCGAGTCCTTTTTCTTTAGTCCATTCRGACATYTGGGGTCCAAACAGAGTAGTGTCTTATAATGGTTACAAGTACTTTGTAATTTTTGTTGATGATTATTCAATGATGACATGGCTTGACCTTATGAAAGAAAAGAGTGAATTGTTTTCTATCTTCCAGAAATTTGATGCTGAAATTCGTAATCAATTTGGTGTAAATATTAAAATTCTTCGTTCTGATAATGGCCGCGAGTATTTTTCCACACACTTTCAAGAATATTTGGAACAGCATGGCATTATCCATCAAACCTCATGTACCTACACCCCTCAACAAAATAGGGTGGCTGAAAGAAAAAACCATCACCTTTTGGAAACTACTCGGTCCCTCTTACATCAGATGAATGTCCCCAAACCCTTTTGGAGTGATGTTGTACTCACATCTTGCTTTCTTATTAACCACATGCCCATGTCTATCCTTGAAGGTCAGTCCCCTTTCTCTGTTTTGTTTCCCACGTTGTCTCCTTTTCCCCTTACTCCCAGAGTTTTTGGATGCGTGTGTTTCGTTCATAATCTTGGGCCTGGAATGGATAAGTTAGATGCTAGATCCACTAAGTGTGTCTTTCTTGGCTATTCCAGGACTCAAAAAGGGTATAAGTGTTATAACCCTCGTTCTCGGCGTTCTTTTGTTTGTTCTGATGTTACATTTTTTTAGTATGTTCCTTTCTTCTCCAGGCCAGATACTTCTTCTCCTCTATTGCCATCACCACCTCTTACAGTTCCTGTTGAGGATCCCGTTCCTCTTGTTCCGGTCGTGACCCAGTCTTTGCCTCCAGTGCAGCTACCTGAGAGAGGACCACCTATCCGGAAAGTGTATACACATCGTCAGGCATCGGCTCCTCCCCTAGCTTCGTCACCGTCGACAAATCCGGCAATTGATCCCACCCCAGCCCAAACTCCAAGTTCTGACCTTGATCTTCCTATTGCTTTGCAAAAGGTAAACGTAGTTGCACTTTCCATCCCATTTCCAATTTTGTTTCTGTATCTCACATTTCGGCTTCCCATCGACAGTTTGTTTCTATGTTATCTTCTGTCTCTGTTCCCAAGGATGTCCAGGAAGCCCTCAATTCTCCAAGGTGGCGCCAAGCAATGGAAGAACTCTCAGCCCTGACTCGTACTCATACGTGGGACCTCACTACTCTTCCTCTTGGTAAGCATGTGGTCGGCTGTAAGTGGGTGTACATGGTTAAATACTTACCTGATGGAAGTGTTGAACGGTTGAAAGCTCGGTTAGTTGCCAAAGGTTATTCACAACAGTATGGTATTGATTACACAGACACCTTCTCTTCGGTTGCCAAAATTGGGTCAGTTCGTGTTTTAATTTCTCTTGCTGATATGTTTGATTGGCCCTTGTTTCAACTTGACATCAAGAATGCCTTTTTACATGGTGATCTTCTTGAGGAGGTGTACATAGAGCAATCACCAGGGTTTGTTGCTCAGGGGGAGGGTGAGAAGGTCTGTAGACTTAAGAAGGCTATTTATGGACTTAARCAATCTCCCCGTGCATGGTTTGGGAGATTTAGTGAAGTGGTGAAGAAGTTTGGAATGAAACAGTGTCAGGTTGATCATTTCGTATTCAGCTATGAATCAAATGCTGGGAAGATTCTCTTGGTGGTATATGTAGATGGCATTGTTATCATAGGCAGTGACAGACCAGAAATTGGCAGGTTGAAGACTTACTTGCATGATCACTTCCAGACAAAGGATCTTGGCAAATTAAGATACTTCCTAGGGATAGAGGTTGCAAAGTCCAAGAATGGTATTAATCTGTGCCAGAGGAAATATGTTCTTGATTTGCTAGAGGAAACAGGGTTGTTGGGTGCCAGACCAGCTAAAACACCTATGGAATTGAATGCTAGATTGGGTAGTGATACAGGTGAGGAGTTTGAGGATTCGGGAAGGTACAGAAGGCTGGTGGGTAAGCTTAATTACCTAACCATCACTCAACTTGATATCTCATTTGCGGTCAATGTAGTGAGTCAATTTATGCAGAATCCGAGAATCCCACACTGGAAGGCAATCCTAAGGATTGGGAGGTATTTGAAGGGTGCTCCAAGTCGTGGCTTGTTGTATAAGAGTGGAGGAAGTCTTGAGATTAGACCTGTTCATGGGTCGGGCCGGGCTCGGGCCGGGCTTTTACTCATCATTAATGGAAATACGCTAGGCCCGAGCCCGAGCCCAACCCGACCAATGGGCCTATAACTTGGGCCCGAGCCCGGCCTTGATGAAAAGCCTGAAACCCGAGCCCGAGCCCGAGCCCGAGCCCGAGCCCGAAGCCCGACCTAATAAAAAAATTACAATTTTCCCTATTCAAATTAGAATTAAAAATTCAGATGGTTTTTTTTCCTATTTAAATGAACAATGGGCCTACAAGATGGTTTTTTTCCTTTTCTTTTACGTTTTAAAACACAATTTTACATTCTTAAATAAAAAAATTTATTCAAATGGACATAATCACATAACCCATTTTAAGTCTAATTTTAGGTCGGGTTGGGTCGGGCTCGGGCCGGGCTATTTTGACAAAACCCGAGCCCGGCTCGAATTTATTGCGGGTCAGGCTTTTTGGCCCGAGTTTAAGCCCGCGGGCCTATAAACATGTTCAAGCCCGTCCGGGGGCCGGGCCGGCGCGTCGGGCCACCCGGCCCATGAACAGGTCTACTTGAGATAGAGGGATACACGGATGCTGATTGGGCCGAGTCCATATCTGACAGAAGGTCCACTATAGGGTATTGCACTTTTCTTGGTGGGAATTTAGTGACATAGAAGAGTAAGAAGCAGACAATGGTAGCAAGAAGCAGTGCAGAGGCTGAATATAGGGTTATGGCTCACACAACATGCAAACTGGTGTGGTTGAAGCATCTACTAGAGGAGATGGGATACTCGATTGACACTCCTATGAAGCTATACTGTGATAACCAAGCTGCAATTCATATCTCCTCTAATCCAGTGTTTCACGAAAGGACGAAGCACATAGAAGTGGATTGCCACTTTGTACGTGAGAAGGTGCTTAGTGGAGTGATACGTACAGCATATGTGAACACAGGAAATCAATGGGCAGATCTGTTTACCAAAGGGTTGAATCGGAGAAGAGTGGACTACATATGTAACAAGTTGGGACTATATGACATATACTCACCAGCTTGAGGGGGAGTGTTAGAGTCGGCTGTACAAGGGTGGTACAATCCTTTTATGTTTAGTTATATATGTATTGCTCTGCTGATGTGGCCCTCACTTAAGTGAGGGCACAATGGGTAATCCTTGTATATCTTAGAAGAGTATAATTAAAAAGAAGGGCCGACTAGAGGTTTTGAGATTTTTCTCTCTAGTTCGGCTGTGACTTTCTCCTTCTTTTTCTTCTCTTTCTCCTTCTCCTTCTCTCTCTCTTTTCCTTCTCTTTCTTTTGATCTGAACATATACGAACATCTAATCTGAGTTTTATCACTTATTGCTAAAAGAAGGTGACAACAACACTGCTTTTTTCCACAAGATGGTCAATGCCAGAAGGCACATTAATAGCATCAAGGCTTTAAAAGTTGATGGGCAGGTGCTGGAGGATGAGAGCCATATTAGAATTGCCATTGTTGACTTCTACTCTAATCTTTACAAAGAAAGCTGGAGTAGAAGGCCAAGACTTGATGGGTTGGACATTAATAGAATTTCTAATGAGGTTGCTTTGGACCTGGAGAGGCCGTTCTCTGAGGATGAAATCAGGGAGGCTATTTATCATTTGGAAGGGGACAAGACACTAGGCCCTAATGGTTCACAATGAAGTTCTGTAAGCTGATCTGGTCTTTTACCAAACAGGACCTCTTGAAGATTTTTGAGAAATCCCACTGAAAGGCTGCTCTAGAAAGGTGTCTCAACTCTACTTTCATCACACTGATTCCCAAAAAGGAAAGAGCTTTAGAGTTGAAGGACTTCAGACCTATCAGTCTCCTGGGAAGTGTCTATAAAATCCTTGCAAAAGTCTTAGCTTCAAGACTAAAAAGGGTGATGGGTCAGATTATCTCCCCCTCCCAAGGAGCTTTTGTTGAGGGGAGACAAATTCTTGATGGTGTTCTCATTGCCAATGAATTGATCGACTCACGGAGGAGGGAAGGTAGAGATGGGCTAATCCTCAAGGTGGATTTAGAAAAAGCATTTGATCATGTCAGCTGGAATTTCTTAGACTATATACTAAAGAGAACGAACTTTAGCTTAAAATGGAGGAGCTGGATCAAGATATGCGTTACTACTCCCACATTTTCCATCCTTTTAAATGGTGTCTATTGTGGAAAGTTCAAAAACTCAACAGGTCTAAGGCAAGGGGATCCTTTGTCCCCATTCCTCTTCAATATAATTATGGAAGCCCGAAGTAAGCTCACTTGTCAGGCAGCAGCTGGTGGCTTTATTCAAGGGTTTAAAGCTGGGGTGGAATAGATCAGATCCCCTTGCTCCAGTTTGCTGATGATACCATCTTTCTATTTTTTTTTTTTGTGATTTTTCAGTTGAATTCTCTAGGCTTTGTTGTAAGATGGTTTGAAGCTGTCTCAAGCCTCAAGATCAACCTCTCCAAGAGTGAGCTAATAATTACTAAAGAAGTATCTCCTGATCCTATTTTGGTTAACATTTTGGGCTGCAAGTTAGGGAAGCTGCCCTCCACTTATCTTGGCATACCCCTGGGTGCTAGGTGCAGTTCTAAGAGGATCTGGGATCCTGTTATTGAAAGATTTAACAAGAAATTGTCCATGTGAAAATCTAAATACCTGTCAAAAGGAGGTAAGCTCACCTTGACAGGGAGTGTCTTGTCCTCACTCCCTATTTATTACCTGTTATTATTCCAAATTCCTACAAATGTTGCAAGGATCTTAGAGAAGAAAATGAGGGCCTTTCTATGGGCTGGGTGGAGGAACAGTTTTAAATTTAATTTGGTGAACTGGAAATCTGTGTGCCAGCCTAGAAAATCTGGTGGCCTTGGCATCAGAAATATTAAAATGGTTAATAAGGCTCTATTGGGTAAATGGTGTTGGAGATTCAGCAAAGAAAGAGGCGATCTATGGAGAAGGATTATTGTAGATAAATATGGGATTACAAACCTTGGTTGGGATTCAGGCCCTGGTCTATCCCCAAAGGGGTGTGCTCTATGGAGCAATATAGCCTCTATTCTCCCTGATTTCTTGAAGGGCATCAGGTCCAAAGTTGGTATAGGTAATCACCTCAAATTCTGGCATGATCGGTGGTGTGGGAACCTGGCTCTACAGGACAGGTTCCCCTCTCTTTTTGATATTGCATTTGATAAGGATGTTGTGGTTGAAGACTGCTTTGACTCGGTGAATGGGGAGGTTGTTTGGGGTCCCACCTTTTGAAGAAATCTCATGATTGGGAAACCAGCCCACTGACTGAACTGTTAAGCCTTGTTCAAAATGTCCTGCCTAATCATTGGATTGGTGATGAAAAAATGTGGTCTTGGAGCTCTTCAGGCAAGTTTTCTTCTCAGTCCTACAACAAATGGGTGTCTTGCGAGGACATTGATTTCCCTTGGGCTTGGATCTGGAATTCCCATGCCCCATCCAAGGTTGCCTTCCTGGTATGGACTGCGGTGCTTGGTAAATGCCTTACCACAGATTGGCTGCTCAGAAGGGGGATGCTTCTTTCTAATATCTTGTGCCCCTTGTGCAATGAGACTTTTGAATCCTCCAATCACCTTTTTATCCATTGTAGTTTTTCTTCCCAACTGTGGGAAATGGCTTGGTCATGACCATAAGTAACTAGACAAAGCAAATTAGGTCGTGACCTTATTGTCATGTAAGGACATCTAATTGACGTGATGTATAGGTTGTTGAAGAATTAAAGTTCTGTTTTTAAATAAAGAAGATCAAACAAAAGAGAATCTAACCAGAAACGTAAACACCCCTGAGGCTGCAAGAACTGTGGCCTTCCTGCAAAATACCTGATTATGAGAAAAAAAAAAGTTAGGTCTTACAAATTAAGATACTTATGCTGGTAAAAATATGTCCTTGAAGCATACAGGATCAGCCTCTACTGGTCTCCCAAAGTGAGGAACTAAAGCCTCAATAAAGCGCCTTCTAATTCCAATTGATGCAACCGCCTCTAAAACCTTAAAAAATAAACAATTCTTAATAAGTTATACCCCTGATGCTCTGTATGTGGACTATTAGTTTACAAGAACAACCTCGGCACAAACTCAAATGGAAAGTTAACTAGAAATATCTAACTGCTGAAGGGCTCTTTACTCTTCAAAAGCAACTCACCTGTGCCTTGAGAGTTTCTTCCAAAGTAGGAAGATATTCAGCCATACACCTATGGAAGAGAAAAACCAAGATATTAGGGAGAGTCAGAAAAACTAGTACTTCTATTTTTATTATGTTAGGAAAGTTTCATTATGCGCTAAGAGATGGGCATAACTTACATTCCATCTACCCATGGAGGAAGCCTGACATCATCAGTGGAGAACAGGGCCTTTATCTCAGAGGAAGAGATTAATTTTACACGCGGAGCACAAGGAGCAGAGGAGTATTTTCTGCTAACTGGAAAGACAACCTGCTTTGATAAAAAAATCCACTTAAAAGTGAAAAACAAAATGACCTTCAAAATAAAAACTAAGAAAGCGAGTTTTTCATGCCTTTAAAACAAGTATACTTCATTTGCATGTTTGCTGGTTCAAGTCATATCGTCATCTTTGGCTAAGGAATTCTGAACCAGTATAAGGTTAAATATGTCACTTTATCCATCTCATTAAATCACATAATTTTGTATGGGTGCAACAAATATTTTCTTATTCCAACAGTTCAAGTTCAACTTCATACTCATTAAGAATCCCTAACATGTGGTACAATTGTGTCAACAATCAAGTAGCCCAAATTCTAGACCAAATCTTTTGATGGAACAAATCAATAAAAAAAAAAAACAATTTCTCATACTCTTGAATCAAACTCTTTTATCATTAACAGAAAATTTGTGAAGAAGATGAAAGAAGTAGAAAACACAAGGTTCTGGGAATAGTAGAAAGCACAAGGCTCTGCAAGCCAAACAGAAGAGATTCCCGAGTAAAACCATGTACATCTCCCCCCCAACAGTAACCCTTTTATCATTAACAGAAATTTTATGAAGAAACAATAGAGAAGTTTATGTAATTCTGTTGTGGCTAGGGGAGAGTGCTGGCCCTTTGATGGAAGTTCCCACAGAAACCCTGGCCCTTCAGGTATAGGGAGAGTCTTTTAGAGACAGTAGGGGACTGCTATTGGCGTTCTATTCTGGCACTATTGGAGTTACAGATTCAGTGACTGCTGAAATTTCAGCCCTTTTACAAGGCTTAAAGCCCGTAAGAAAGATGAAACTGAAGATGGAACTGAAGAATGTGATGGAGAACCAACAACAGAGATATTGGTTCAAGCTTGCACAGGGGAGCGACCTGGAGGCTGGATGAAGTGTCTTTTACAAGGCTTAAAGCCCGTAAGAAAGATGAAACTGAAGATGGAACTGAAGAATGTGATGGAAAACCAACAACAGAGATATTGGTTCAAGCTTGCACAGGGGAGCGACCTGGAGGCTGGATGAAGTGTCTTGCACAAGGGACGACGACTCTGTTTCTAGTTTAGTTGCAGTGGTAGCAAGGGGAAGAGAGGAAGGAGAGAACAAACAAAAGGGGAAGAAGGAGGAGAAAGGTGGCTGCCAAACACATTCGGTGGTTAACATACTCATCAACAACAGAGGAGAGAGGGTGCGTTAATGAGAAAATGGAAGAAGAAGAAGAAGAAGAAGAAGAAGAAGAAGAAGAAGAAGGAGGAGGAGAGAGAGAGAGAGAGATGGGGCAGAACTACAAAATACCTACCACCGCAGTTCGATGGTGGTGCAAGAGGCTAAAGACAACCTCTAGTTTGTTCAATTTTATTTTTTATAATATTAATAGTATTAACATTTTATAAATATCATTTTATATTAATATTTTAAACTAATGTTAATATTAAAATTATTTTTTAATTAATATTATTTTGATAATTTTAATCTTATTTTTTATTTTTAATATTCTAATTTTATTATTTCTTAATATTTAATACTTTTATTATTTTATAATTTTTTATAACATTAAAAAATTTTATCAATTTCTGTTATTGTTATGTAATAATTTAAGTAACAATTAAAAGGGTAAATTTGTAAAATGTACATTTTTCAAATGTCAGCACTTAGATTGCCGAACAACTCCGCTACATTCAGATATCTGCAAAGGTAGAAAAGCAAATTTTCTTTGAATTGCTTTTAGAGGTCACAATAAGTGAGAATGGAGGTGGCCATAGAGCTTAGCGACATTTTGCATGTAGACTTGGACCACTAGAGCAGCTGTGTAGGAGTGGGGTAAAGCAACAAAATCAAAATGGGTATATTTGCTCAAACAATCCACGACAACCAGTATCACCAACTTGATCGCTGATTTAGGCAACCCGGTAATGGAATCCATGGTAACATCATCCCATATCTTCTCAGGAATAGGAAGGGGCTGAAGTAATCTGGCTAGTGGCTGAGTGCTATATTTTTGTTGCTAATATACCCCACATCGGCTCACATAGTCTTGTACCATCCTCTTTTCATCCCATGCCAATAATAATGGGTTGCCAGCCTCTTATAGGTGCAAAGCACCCCTGAATGGTGCTATGACTTTTGTGGCAACACTAAAGTGCCCTTTAAAAAACAAAGTGAATCAATTACTGAGTACTCCAGTATTAGGGATTGATCTTGGGCCCACTGTTGGTATATCTAAGTCAACACTTGATCTTGTTAGGCTTCCAACTTCAGCTGGTCCAGCAATGGAAACAGTGTTTTTGAGACCCCAAGTGACTAAAATTCTTCAGCCCATGAGAGTGCATCAGCCACAGCATTAGATGGACCAGGCTTGTACTCTATTCTGAAGTCAAAACAAGTAGCTATTAGGTCCATTCTGTTGCTTTAGGCTTAGAATGTGCTTGTCCAGAAAGTGGCGGATGCTTCTATGATCTGTTCTCACTGTAAATTTTCAACCCAAGAGATATTCTCTCCACTTTTGCACGACTAAGGTAACTGCCATTAGCTCCTTCTCATAAGTAGACTTAAGCTGGGCCTGAGTACTGAGAGCTTGACTGAAATAGGTTACTGGTTGGCTTTGTTGCATCAACACTACCTGAACACCCTTCCTGGAAGCATTTATTTCAACAGTGAATTCTTGTGTAAAGTTAGGCAATACCAAAGCTGGAGGGGATGTAATGACTTTCTTGAGAGTATTGAAAGCCTCTTCAGAATTATCATTCCATTCAAAGGAATTGCACTTCAGCAGTTGAGTCAAGCGAGCAGCTATCACACCATACCCTTTAATAAACCAACAATAATAGCCAGTTAACCCAAGAAACCCTCTCAGGCCGAGTGTAGTGGGCCTGGCCCAGTTGACCATAGGTCCATAAATGCAACTTTTTCAGGATTAGTGTACATCTTCCCTTTTGAAATAGTGTGACCAAGGTAACGGATGCTAGTCCTACCAAAGGAACATTTAGCTGGCTTCGTATAGGGTTGGCATTGCCTCAGTATACTCAAGGTGATTTCTAATTGCTCCATGTGGGATGACCAGGATGGGCTGTAAACGAATATATCATAAAAAAAACTAAAAACAACATACGTAAGTGTGGCTTGAATACCTGGTTCATCAACCATTGAAATATAGAGGGCGCATTAGTTAGTCCAAATGGCATAATTAAGAAATCATAGTTCTCACTTGCAGTTTGGAAAGCTGCTTTGTGGATATCATCAGGATGTACACGAATTTCGTGGTACCCAGACCTGAGATCCACTTTAGAAAAGAAGTGAACTTGGTCCAATTCATCAAACAACTCATCTATGAGTGGAATAGGGAACCTGTCCTTGATTATAATGCTGTTCAGAGCATGGTAATCCACACAAAACCTCCAAGCCCTGTCTTTCTTCTTTACTAGAGGCATGGGAGAGAAGAAAGGACTGTTATTGGGTTGTATAAACCCCTTGCCCAGCATCTCTTGAACTATCTTTTCAATCTCAGCCCATTAGTAATGAGGGTACCAGTATGGGTGGACATTAGTAGGCACTGCCCCAGGCTGAAGTTCTATTCTGTGGTCATGGGTCCTCTTAGGTGGGAGAGATGCCAATTCTAGGAAAACATCACCATACTTCTGTAACAACCGCTGAAGTTGGGCCACTTCTTCCTATATGTCGAGCTGTGAGGACAATATGGGCTCAGGTGTGAGTGAGTCTAGATGCACCATGGTGTGGAACAGTGGATGATCATAAATTGGCAGCACTTAAGGCCTTGGAAGTCATCACCTGGGCCTATTAGGGCTTGAGCACTTGTATGCAACATTGTTTACCATGGACAGAGAAGGTCAATTTGACCCAACAACACTGGGCCTAGTTGAAGGAGCCACTGGACCCCCAAAGCGATATCAGCTACTGAGAAGTCCAATGGGTGCAAGTCCACATAGAAAGAGGTGCCCTGAATCTTCGGCCCAATAGTTTTACAGAGCCAACTACAGTTGGACTGAAAATGGATTGATGGGCTGCACTACTAGACCCAACCATTTGGCTAGAAAATGGGTGACAAAATTTAGCGAATTTCCACTCTCTATCAAAATAGAGACTTCCTGTCCTTTAATAAGGCCCATTACCCACATAGTTTGAGTTGAGTTCAGCCCATTTAAGGCCTATAAAGAGATCTCATAATATTTGGTCCTTGGTCCTTCTTCCCCACCAAGTTGATTCAATTCTTTTTCCTCAGTTGTTTCTTCTTCAATTGGCTCATCCACTTGAAGCAAATAACCTGCTGGACTTTACAAATATGTCCTGGAGCAAATTGTTCATCACAATTATAACAAAGCCTCTTCTTCCTGACAGGCTTCTATCAATAGTTGTCAAGGCACCTAGGTAATTCTAGGCGATAGTGGGGCACCTAGGCGATAAGAACTCCATAAAATTATAAAAAAAAAAAAAAACTATTTTTTCCTAGTTCTCTAGCTTTATATAAATTTCAGCATGCATAATAATTGGAAAAATAACAATTTTATTTATTAAATAACATTAAATTTCCTCTCAAAACATGGCATATCAACACATCTAGGACAATAGTACTTCAATACTTCCAAAAAATGATTCTAATATAATAAGTATTTAACAATGCAATTTCATATCAAATTAGCAACTAAAGAAGGTTATAATTTTATATGACAAAATTTAATACAGAGTAAGAAAAAGAGGAAATGAAGAAGGTTAGAGCTGTTGTTTTATTTAATGTAAGAGAGAGAAAGACTAAAAAAAATGAATGAAACTTCTTTATATTTCTATTCTTTTTTTTTCTTTTTCTCTTTTCAAAACCTTTGGATCTTTTGAACTTCAATAGTAAAACTTTTTAAAACAAAGTATAAATGATACATACAAGATGTAATAGAATGTAATAACAACATATTACTAAGATGTAGCAATATGAATGACATGATAATAAGGTGCCCACTTTGTCATTTTAGTTGCCTAGGCAGGCGCCTTATCGCCTAGAT